TGGACTTTGTCAAAGGCTTTTTTTTTTCTGATCAAATCCAACATCTTTTCATAGTAACAAAAATAATCTGGAGACATGGAGGTAGAGGAAACACATTTCAACATAATGAAGGCTATCTATGACAAACCAATAGTAGCCATCATGTTAAATGGAGAAAAACTTGAAACATTCCCACTAAGATCAGGAACAAGGCAATGGTGTCCACTTTGTTCACTCCTAGTGCTTGAAGGACCAGCTAGAACAATAAGAAAAGAAAAAGAACAGAAACAGAAAAGGAAGAAGTCGAAGAAACCCTATTTGCAGCTATTTGCAGTTGGCATTATTCTATATATGAGACAACCTAAGTACCCTACCAGGAAACTCCTATAGGGATTAACACTCTCAGTAAAATGGCAGGTTACAAACTTAACATACCTAAATCAACAGTCTTCATATATACCAAAGACAAATGGATTGAAAAAGAAATCAGGGGAAAACAATCTCATTCAAAACAGCCTCAAAAAAATACCTCGAAATAAACCTTTACAGTAAAAACTTTAAAGCATGGAAGAAAGATGGTGCTGGAGAGATGGCTCAGTGGTTAAGAGCACTGGCTGTTCTTGCAGAGGGCACGGGTTCAAATTCCAGCACCCACATGGCAGCTAACAACTGTCCGTAACTCAGGTTCCACGGGATTTGATACTATCTTCTGACCATCACAGGTGCACTTACACACATGCATGCATAACACTCATATATATAAAATAAAAATAAATAAAAGAAAAAAAACACAGAAGAAAGAAACTAAAGAAGACACCAAAAAATGGAGAGATTGCTCATGCTCATGGATTGGTAGGATTCATGTTGTAGAAACAGCCACCCTACCAATAATAATCTACAGATTCAGTGCAATCCCCATCAAATGTCATATGTTCACATTCATATATGTATCTTAAAGTTAAATCTTGAGTTTTGTATGTTTAACTTGGAGTGCCTGTAGAATCCAGGAAATTAAGGGGGGGGCCACTGGTGGGGAGGGGGAAGACAGGTTTTATTTTTTTATTCTATATGTATGAGTGTATGGCTTGCATGTATGTAAGTGCACCCATGTTGTGCAATGTGAAGGTCAGAAGAGGGTGTCCATCAGAACCCCAGGAGCTGGAGTTTCAGATGGTTGTTAGCTGCCATGTTGGATGCTGGGACCCAAATCCAGGTTCTCTGAAAGAGCAGCTAGTGCTCTTAACTGAGAAGCCATCTCTCCAGTCCCAGGAGGAAGGAAGATTTTAAGGAAGGGAAGATAATAGAGCACAGATGATATAAAGGGAAAGGGGGAATCATGGGGAGGGAATTTTAAGTAGAGAGGGGAATGGGAGGGTAGGGTGGGGGGTAGGAGAGGGAGAGATAACCAATATTAAGCATGTTTGAAAAAGCCATATGGAAATCTACTCTTACAAGCTTTCTAAATATCTATCGATCAATAGATAGATGGGTAGATAGATCATATAAAAGAGTATAATTGGAGTTACCTTACACAAGGAATACTGCTTCTCTCCTAAGCCATAGGTTGCCAAATAAAAAGCCTAGTGTAAGGTGTGGGGATACCTTCCCTTACGCTGTTGGTCAGGGGCATCCTGGAGACCCCCTCAAACAATACAGGATATTAACATTGTTTTGGGTTGCCTACCAGAACTTGACGGTAAGACTTTATTGCTGAAGACACCATACACTTTGGTCATAGGACATGTAGAGATCAAGTTGATACTGACCAGGAAGTTTTCAAAGTACAAGAAGATGCTATGAAGGCTGCTGGGAGAGAAATAATCTTACCTAGCTTGGAACTCTATGAGCTACAATAACGGTCACTGTGGCAAGATATGCTCATGGATGCAATAGTGTCATGAATGTTGAAGAGATAACCAACCACTTTCTGACTGGATTTTAGGCCTGCTCCATAGGAGGAAGCGTATGCCTGGTACTGCAAATCTGACCAAGAAGCCATGGTAGGGACACTCAAAGGCCCCAAGTGTGAACCTACTATTATTTTGATAAATGGACATAGTATCAACTGTCCTCTAAATTTGTAGCTCTATACCCATAGATTTGTGCAGCTATTATGCCACATCAAAGAAATCTATTTGTGCAGTGAAGGTGGTCAAAGTGAAGAGAGTGTCACTGAAGTGCTCAGCCAGAAATAGGGGCATCTATATCACACTCCTCCTCAAGGCTCAGGGACCATGAGGAAAAGGGGGCAGAAAAACTGTGAGAGACAGAAGTTAGGGAAGAGCGAAACAGTGTCTTCTGGACATGACAGGAGTGCTATACTCATGAGCTTACAGGAGCTGTGGTTGTGTGTACAAAGCCTGCACAAGATCAAGCCAGTGAACATTTCACCCCAGAGCAGAAAGGTGCTCAAGTGCCCCCACCACTAGCTAAGAAGCCACTGCCAGTTGATGTCTTCTGGGGAAGAGAGTCAGTTTTCTTTAACAGTGTGGCCCTGGGTTGGTTGACGATGCTCCAGTGGACAGCTCCACACCAATGAGTTTATGGGCAGCACAAATTGGACTCGGTGGATAATAAAACAAGACAGTGAGAAGAGGACACAAAGCTTGAAAGAGGTAAGGTTAGGCAGTGCATCTGAAGAGTTGGAGGAGGAGAGGGAGGGAAGTACGATCAAAATATTGTATGTCTGTATAAAATTCTCGAAGAATTAATAAAAATGCTACATATCAAGCAGATTCTGTCCATTTAAGTAAAAGATAAATTGTAAGTACATTTAAAAAATATACTCTTGCTTTGATACACACTGCTGTATTGTTTATTCCAGAACTTTGAATGAGTTCTAATTTCAGAGAAACTGTTGAAGACTTCCCCACACCAGAGACAGAAGTCAGGGCTTATGAATTCTGAGCCTCTCTTTGGCTTCAGTGCTAGTCTTTTCCAACTGAGGTTTAACACCAGCAACCCAACCACTTTCCCTCAATTAACACTCACCTGTAAAATTCAATAGCACTAAATGAAAATATTATCACTCAACCATAGATAACTATCTGAGTGACACTGAAAAATGACTTAACAATATATTGAAATTAGAACATTTGCCAAAGAGAGTTTCCAGCATTCAAAATGCACAGAACTATTTGTTCATTATCTTATTACCTCACAGTCCACATTGAACCAACTATCTCTGTACAAATGTTTCCAAGCCTTTATGAATTCTTTGGGGCTTTTAAACCCAATCATTTTCTATTCATCTCTACTGTTTAGGATGTAGCATATTCCCTGAAACAGAGTTAATATTCCACAAATGTATCAAATTTTTAAAAGAGAGGAAATGGGGATGGAAGTATATGTCAGTGGAAGGGTATGTGTCTAGCATGCACAAAGTCCTAGGTCAATCCTCAGCACCAGAAGAGGGAAGAGAGGGAGAAGGAGAGGGAGAGGGAGAGGGAGGGGGAGGGGGAGAAGAGAGCTAGACGAGAGAGAGAGAGAGAGAGAGAGAGAGAGGAGAGGGAGAAAGTCCCGACTGTGTCTGAAAGGAACTTAGAAAAATATTAAGCTCTCTCTTAATGTCATTGCACATGGCTGCATTTAGGGAGAGAGAGAAAGAATTGAGAAGAAGGAAAAGGCAGTGAAATTAAATCACTAAAGACAAACTGGGAAATTACCTAAAGCCTTCATCAATCTTAAATATTTCATTGCATTTCATCTTTTTGAATGATGGCAAAAATTTCCTAGATGAAAAAGTGTTCCTTTTCACAGTAACAAGTACAACAGAATTTTAAATTATTGTTTTCTAATGTCATGGAAATACACATAAAATATCCGTAACCTGATTTGCTCTGCAGAGGTAGAAATGGGACACTTCCTATTATCCCCCCAATGAAATGACAATGAGGGGTGAAGAAGTGCAAAGACTTCTGCAGGTTCTTACTTCTCAAGCAATCTAAGAGCTTGAGAGGACATTCTTGGCCAAGAAAAAAGAGGCATTCTTGGGTGCTGGAGAGATGGCTCAGAGGTTAAGAGTACTGGTTGCTTTTGTAGAGGACCTGGATTCAATTACCAGCACCCACATGGTGACTGACTAACAACCACCCATAACTCGAGTTCTAGGGGATCTGATGCCCTCGTCTGGACTCCACAGGCACTGCATGACATGGGTGCACTTACACACATGCAGGTAATACTCTCATACACATAAAATAGGAAGAGCAAAAAAATAATACATAAAATATTTTAAAAAAGCATTCTTGTCACAGTGTATTTCAGCACAAAGACCAGGCCTGTTACTCCTTTATGTCAAGGGACTGTGTTTTGTGGATACAGTGTATTCAGTACACTGTTGCTTATAGGATCAACATCACTGTGACTAGTTTTCATCTGAAGGAGAAATTGAACAGCTTCCATTTGTCAAACCATCATGATAGGGTGGGAATATGGCACAAAGCACCAAATCAGAGACATAGTCTGTCTATATTCACATTCAGAAACTGGTCAGGGATACTGAGCAAGCCCACATGATCCCAATGCCCTGGTCACTTCCTCTCCAGCTCACTGCTCTGAGACGCAGCTAGAGGAACTGCACTCTGATGAGCAGTAATGGAGAAGGTGAGAGGAGCAAGAACTTCAAGTATGCAGGCATGTAACAAGGCCCAGAGAAACCCCTCAGTACTAAATACATGACACTTTCCTCAGTTATTACCACACAAGGAAACCCTTCATTTTTTATTTGTAAGGAAGCTGGAGTACAGTTCAGAAATGGTGAGGCACACCTCTAATCCCAGCACTCAGGAGGCAGAGCCAGGGTGCTCTCTGGAAGTTCAATGCTAGCCTGGTCGACATAGTGAGTTCCATGTCAGTCAGTGCTACATAGTAAAACCCTGTCTCAAAATAGGTTTACTCAATGTGATGTCAGTTTTGAAATTATCTCTAGTGTTTTTCCGAAGGATTTGCACTCCTAGAGTCTAGCTGGACAAATTTAAATTTCACAATTGTGTGGGCATAAAGTGATTTTTAAGTCATGCAAAGATGATTTTATTAGTCACTTCCTTGAAAGGCATGACCACACACAAGGAGAAAAAACTATAAGGAAATGCTATACTTCTTAAAGCAGCTGTGATTCATTTCACAGTTGGTCTGTTTCTATTCTTCTTTTTGGGCTTTCCAGCCACACGCAGTGTCAACTGCCACAACTTACCAGTGAATTCATAGTAAATGGCTGTTCCATGCTGTCCTATGTGCAAAAGCAGGGAGCGCAGTCTTCTCAGTCACTTCATCTGTTTTAAAGACAAAAAGCAAAGCTAAGGTTACTTTTTGATAACTCAAGTCTCAATTCCCAAGTCCTACATTGAAAAGAATGTAAACATTTGAAAAACTTGTACAACCAGAGTGCTTAGAGACACTACTGGACATTTTATTCAGAAAATACAAAACCATAGGTGCTAATAGGTCCTTGAAGCTGACCGTTTAAGGTGGAGGTGTGCAGGGAACTCATATTTGATGAGCACCAGAGTACAAAGGTTTTATTCAGAAAATACAAAACCATAGGTGCTAATGGGTCCTTGAAGCTGACCGATAAGGTGGAGGTGTGCAGGGAACTCATATTTGATGAGCACCAGAGTACAAAGCTGCTGGGTATTATGCTATTTAGTACTCTATGCAAGACTGTATAAAATGGGCTCACTTCCTTCTAAAGGAGGAGGAAGAGCATAGAATGCCAAGGTCACCGATGCTTCATGTGCAGTCAAGTTGGATTTAATGTCAGCCTTAAAGCTGCATTTGGCAGAAGTGTAAGACAGCTCTGTGATTCCCATCATTGGGCCCTATGGCTTGTGTAACCCCTCCCTCCGACTACGGACAAAACCCTTCCTTTTAGTCTTTCTGATTAATGGAATATGATAAATGGATATTGCTCCCATGACTATGTTACATCATATATCAAAGGTGAAGACATATTGCAGATGTATTAAAGTCCCTTAAGTAGTTAGTGTTAAATTAAAGACAGGTTTCCCTGAGGTCTTCACCGAAGGAAGTGAGACCTTTAACAGAAGATGTTCTTCTGCTTGCTTTGAAGCCCTGATGCCAAGAGTTCTGCAGCTTTTAGAAAACTAATACTGGGATTCAGAGATGATTCAACAGTTAAGAGTGTTTCCTGCTCTGGCAGAGGACCTGGGTTCCCAGCACCCACATGATGGCTCACAACTGCCCATAACTCAAGTTTCAGGGAATCTGATGCCCTCTTCTGGCCTCTGTGGGCTCCTACTTGCACATGGTATACACACATACACACACACACACACAAACACACACACGCATATATATATATATTCAGGCATACACATACACATAAAATATAAGTATTTTTAAAGAAAATTAATTCTGCCATTAACTTCAAGAGCTTCAAAAAAAAGGAGTCTGAGCCACGTCTGAGACCTTAACCATCAACACTAAGGTTACAGATTCCTAGATGATCCCTAATAGGTCAACAACACCTTGACTGCTCCCTTATGGCACCATACAAAGAACCTAGGTAGGCTGTGCCCTGACACCTGCCCCACAAAACTGTGAGATAAGCACAGGCTGTCTTTAACCCTTGCATTCCTGGAAATGTGTACATTACCAATAGAAAACCAACACGCTTAGTGACTGCACAGATAAGCCAGGATGTCTGGGCACCTGAAAAACGCAGAAGCAGTAGTACTGATGATGTGGCTGTAATGGGATTAAATGAATTAGCATATAACCTGTAATAGTTCCTCACCAATGGTCAATATTTTATGAATCTTAGCTCTTATTAGAATCTTTATTTTGCAGTTGAGGAAACTGGGGATCAAAGTTACTAATGGAACATGCTCAAAGATGAACTAAATAAATGTTGGTCCCGTCTCTTTCAGTCTAGCCTAGAACAACTTCTGCACCCTCACTTTCCACTTCTAGATCACTCATGTTCTTTACACCCCATTAGCCACTTTGTTAACTTTGGACATTTATCTTCTCACTTAGGGAACTAGGAAAGGCAACATTCTCTAAAATGGTTATAATCTGTGCTTCCAGAAAGCTCTGAAGAACATTAATCATCCCCTCTCTTATGTTACTTTTCAGCCCAAATTCACAGCTAAGAAACCCTTCAAGGAAAATAACTCTCTCTCCTATGTTCTAGCCTTTCCCCTCCTGTCTCCAGTAAGTCCTAGTCCTAATACTGAGCTCTAAGCCTGCAAGTTACAAAGATGCTCAAGAAAGAAACCACATGGCAAACCACAGTTACAAGTTCCAGCATATCAAGCAATTTGGCACCACAGCAGCTGTAGAATGTCGGCAACCGACCTTCACTAGAGAACTACCACTTCTCAGTTCTCAGGAAAAGAAAAAAGGTGTGTGTGTGTGTGTGTGTGTGTGTGTGTGTGTGTTAAAGAGACTCCCTGCCTAGTGTGAGTGTGCAAGTCTATAATCCCAGCTCTCGGGAAATAGTAAGATCTGGAGTTCAAGGCCAATTTTGACTACGAAGCGAGTTAAGTTCAGCTACATAGCAAACTGGAAACCAGCCTGGGCCACATGAGACCCTGACCAGGTCTTAAACATCAAAAGGGAGAATAAAAAAAAAAGAAGTTAAAGAAAAACAAAACAAAACAAAAGCTTATGGAGAATGCAGATGTACGGGGGTCCATGGGAAAAATACAGGTCAGTCATCCATGAGGGCTTTGAAAAGTAGAATTATTCTTTAAAAGTTAGTTAGATCTCTAACAGAAAGCAGGCACTATACAAACAGAAAAAGAACTGTTCTTAAGTTTTATTGTACCTAAATGTAAATCTGAGCTTTGTTCAAAATGCATATTCTTGGGCTGGGGATTTAGCTCAGTTGGTATAGTGCTTGCCTAACATTCACAAAGCCAAGCATAGAGCCTTGGCTCCCTGCCCAGCACCGCATGAACTGGGCATGGTGGCAGATACATCTGTAGTCACAGCACTGGGGAGGCAGAAGCAGGAGAATCAGAACTTCTGTTCAAGATCATCCTGGTCTATACGTCAAGTTTAAGGCCTGCCTGTGATATATGAGACCCTGTTTTAAGAAAAATAATGATTCAGCAATTGATTAAATAAAATAAAATGCAGATTCCTAGGACTCAGCCACAAGGATTCCGACTCTATCCATTCTAAGCCCAGAAACAGACTTTATTAGAACAAGGCCCAGATATTTTGCTGCAAGCATTTCCAGAGGATACTTTGAAAGTAACTGCATTTACTGCATCTGGAAACGTATCAAACAGGAATCTTAGATGTAAACAAAGACACCAACTCTTGAATTCGGAGAAGAACATTGGAGAGATAACATATTTCCAGGAAGCACAGCAAAACTAAGCTCAGAGGCTACATTTCCAGGAACATCACTCCAATTCTCACAGAGGCCTTTATAGAAAAAAAATACCACATTGTTGCCTCAGTTATTTCACAAACAGAGGAGTCTACAGCTTCCTCTGCCAGCAACTCCTGCAAATAATTGTTGCCATGGAAACTATGTGCAGCTGCTTGGGGTTTGTGCATGTCCATAGTTTCCATACCACAACATGAATGTAGATGTCTGACTGGTTTGCCTAGGTCACAGGCGTACTGCCTGGCTGTAAAAGTGGTTGAATATGTGAACCTGCTGCACTTCACACTTCTATAAAAGACAATGGATGTGCCAACTCAGAAACGGTATGTTCAGAGCAGGGTGGCCAAACACAGTATAAGTGTTCAAAAAAAATTGTCTCCAATGAGTTCCTGTTTTGTATAAAATGTTTATTTAAGCCAGGTGTGGTTGAATGCATGTCCTTAATTCCAGCATTCTGGAGGCAGAGGCAGGTGGATCTCTATGAGATCAAGGTCAGCCTAGTCTGCATAGTGACTTCCATCCCAGCTGGGGCTACAGGAAAACTGTCTTAAACAAACAAAAATGGTTATTTAGTTCACAGATCTTAAATACCAGAATTAAACTGATATAGATCAAAGAATCACTATTAACTTTTACACATAAATGTATTATTCAGTATGAGGAACCAACTCCTCCCAATATAAAGCGAAAGAAGTTCTCAGATTGGTCAACCTATTTTTTGAACTTGTCTTGATGATACCAGTCCTGTTTGAATTTCTTTAAGTTCCCACCTCTGGCCCTTACAATTGCTATATACTCACACAGTGGTATGCTCTCTAGGCTGGTGACTCTCAAAATATACACCAGGCACCCTAAGATTCTTTTAAGGGGTATAAAAGGTCAATGTTATTTTCATGAAATTACTAGAACATTTGTTTTCTGGCACATGTGTGGGTGTGTCTACTCACACATGCCCACTTGTGCCCCATGTAGAGGCTAGAGGTCAATGTCTATCTTTCTCAATCGCTTCCCCACCTTATGGTTTTGAGCAGGATCTCTCACTGAACCTGGAACTCACTTACTGACTACACTGTCTGGCCGGAAAGCCCCAGATACCCTCCTGCCTGCACCTCCCCAGTGCTAGAGTTATAGACAGGCACTGTCAGCTGAAGCTCTAACTCAGATCTTCATGTTTGAATAGCAAGCACTGTATCAACTAAGCCATTTCCTTGACCCCATTATTTGCTTTTTTGGTATCAATTTCTCACAACTTTGTAGTGGAGATTTCCAAGGGACATAATAAATCATAAAATGTGTAAATGGTCTTATGATGTGTTTGAATTTTTAATACAGCAAATGACCCACTTAAAATATTTTAACTATCTTTAGTAATTTTTAGAGGGCAAAAAGTTTAATCTCTGCTATTTTATGACTAACCATGCAAACAAGCAACTAAAAACTCATATGCTAGGCCAGTCAAACCAGAAGCCAAATTATATAAACTAGGGAAAAATTAGTGGCAAGGTCACATCCCAATTGTGCTACTGAAGCCTGGCTGAAATAGAGAATTTAAACAGTAAAAGATGCTTGACCTTGCAAAACCCAAGACCCACAAGTCCAAATACTGCTAAATAGCTCAAATAGCACTCCCCTTTGTGATGTAAATATGTGATTTTCAGCTGATACAGAGCAGTCCAACCCACATTTTCTATCTTCTTTTGAGCCAGGGGTGTCCATACTGTCAGTATAGTCACTACTGCGTGGACACAGTGAAGCACTTGGAGTCTGGATCCTAAAAGGGAAGTGATGCAGCTTTTGAGAATGGTGAGGCTCTTTCTCAGGCCAGGATACAGATTCAATGGTCCCCAAGGTTCAGCCTGCGACAGTGGCTTTCAGATTTATTGTCTCCCTCAGTGGTTAAAGACATGG